TAATTTATAATCTTAATCCATTTATAAACCTTTGAACAAATTTCAAATGTTAGTGACAGTTGATTAGATTCAAATTACAAAATGCATATTTAAAATAAGAAAACCTTTTTAGATTATAAATAGATAAAATGTTGTTTAGGAGGTGGTGTTGAATAAAGTAACTTGAAAGATTGAAAAGTGGTAAATTAATTGCGCATGGGAAATATGTCAAGTTACTGTACAGGGGCAAATATGTCAAATTGGTGGGAAATATGTCCAATTTTTTTTACTGTAATGATAACCACATGATTATAACGAATTGTCGATTTTCAATAAATGCGAAACAAATAGAAAAAAAAACAATGCATCAATCAAATGCATAAGATTTTTTTCAAAAGTTTACTTGAAATTAATAAGTTTCAATCTATGTAATCGAATAATGTCACCATACAGATCCTTCCTGATATCCACGTCACACTTCATGATAGAATTATAAGTGGTCTCATGAATCCCATCAGGTTCCATTATGATTATGGATGTGGAACAGAACCTTTGGGCACCTGAAATGCTTAGCACCAACAATAATCACTTGCATCAATTTGTTAGGTGTAAAGTTTATTTTATCAATTTGATCATGTAATCTGAATTAACATGCATTTTTAGAACTTAATGCATTAAATAACAGGTTTGTTGTCTACTAAGTTCTTTTTTAATCTTTTAGTTTATTCATGTCTATCGGTACTAGGTCCGATCAGATGTGAGTTTTTTTTCTTTTTTTTTAATCCTAAATTACAGTTTTAGTAGCATTGTACTTTCAAAAAATATTTTATTACTTTCATTTCAATGTCATTTATTGATTTTTCTTGCTTTTTATATTCATTTATTTCACTTATCTCGGATTGAAGAAAAAATTATATGTATAAATATGATGATGGTTGCTGCAGTGTTTGGATTTTGGTCTATATAGTCTGGTAAAATAACACACTCTACCCTCTTATTGGTAATATGGTTACATTGGGGGGTCACACATAGATGTAAAGCAACAATCGACTGCTGGAAGTTTACAAACGGTTTTACTTTACGGTTCTATTGGCACTTTGAAAAGATGGTGAATATGAGGATAAAACATTTTTTTTTGATTTGACAAAACTACCCCTACATGGTACTGAAGGCCCTGATCTCCTCTTTGGTTAATGAAATTTTGTTTATATAATTCTCTTTGGTTACCAATGTTGACAAAAATAAAACCATATTATTTTCTTTATTTTTCAAAAAAAAGTGACATTATTACCCTTTGTACCGGGAACTGTAGCTTGGAAGAATGGAAAATATTGGAAACTTTATATTCCTTGAATTTGATAAAAGTTACTATGTGTGCTTTGTCTAAGAGCTGCTATGTTTACAATTAAAATGGTTTTTCATCTTTTTTGGATATGACATCTTTACCCCTGGCGTTAGTTTGCTTAAAGACTCAGACCAAGATAAAGTGATTGTTGATATTTCATTTGAGCTTAATCTACAATCATATTAATGTTGTGCCACAAGAGTTTATTTCTATTATAATCTTACTATTAATTTCTATTTTTCATTCCCTAGGAATTCATTTGGTGAGGTTTAATTTCAGAGAGAGAAGAAGGATGGGGTCAGTTGGTAGAAGAAAAAAAAGTGGAAACAAAGAAGAGAACGAGAAGGCAGGGTGATATTTTAAAAATGGATCAGTATGCATGTCCATATACATCTTAATATGCATATGCATATGCGTATACATGTAGATATGTTCATGTATATACATTTCATATGTATGTGCATATACATATGCATCTTAAGATGCATATGCATATAAAATTTAAGTACATATATATATGTAATGCATATTCATATGCATATACTTATTCTTACGCATATGCATATGCATATACTTATTCATATTCATATACATATACTTACGAATATGTATATACTTATTTGTATGCATATGACATGATATATATATATATATATATATATATATATATATATATATATATATATATATATATATACTTATTCATATGCATAGGCATATACTTATCCTTATGCATATGAATATATACTTATTCATATGCATATGCATATACTTATGAATATGGATATACTTATTTTTATGCATATATATGTAATACTATGCATATGCATATACTTATTTATAAGCATATTCATATGGATATACTTATGAATATGCATATACTTATTTTTATGCATATGGAATATTATGCATATGCATATACTTATTCATATGCACATATATATACTTATTTTTATGCATATGTATTGTTATGCATATACATACACATATTCATATGTATATGCATATGTTAATTCTTATGCATATATAATATTACGCATATGTATATGCATATACATAAGCATAATCATATGTATTTAATTACCTTGTGCATATGCATATGTATATGTATATGCATATGCATATGCATATGTTCCAAGATTCATATACTTATTCATATGTATATGCATATGAATAAGAATTAATGGGAATGCATGGAAATAACAATAATTGTGTGAGGTTGAACGTATTCACATTGCTAAACAACTTATTCTTTTAGTAATTCTCATAGAATAGTATTGTCCACATGTCCGCACAATAGTTGTCCATCCACATTATAATCTAGTCATATATACATATATATATATATATATATATATATAATATATATATATATATATATATATATATATATATATATATATATATAGACGGTTCACTGGAATTAGGAAAAAATAGAGATCTTGAGATTCAACCTCAACCATATATTTCTCATTTGACGCTCTAACGCTCCAGCGTACCGGCAGCAGTAGGGTATGCCTAATCATAAATGATTATATGGCAGAGATGTATAATCATATATGATTATACATCTTTATACGTATATGCGTAATCATAAATGATTATACATATATGTTTGTTTACAAATTAAGTAATCGTATATGATTATGATAGGTGGTGGTAGAAGAGGTGGTGGTGGCAGACATGGTAGTGGTATAAGTGGCGGAGGTGGCAATGGCAGGGTTGGTTGGTGTTAGATGTGGTGGTAGTGGTGGCTGTTGAATTTGTGGTGGTGGGGATGGTGGGGGAGGAGAAAGGAACAAGTGGCGTTATATAAGCATTTATGATTATAACTGACCCGATGCGCCGGTACGCCGGACGGTTAGAGCGGCGCATGTGAAATATGTGGCTAAGGTTGAATCTCAAGATCTCTATTTTATTTTGAATTTCAACGGAATCTATATTTATATTTAGCATGAACCATAAGTCCTTATAACTTATGGTTTGGGATTATTACAAGTCACCAGGATCTGCCCAATCATGACATTGTTTATATTTAGCATGAACCATAAGTTTTTACAACTTATGGTTCAAAGATTATTACAAGTCATCATGATCTGCCAAATCATGGTTCAACTTTTTTATTAACAAGAGCCATAAGTTCCTATGGATTATGGTTTAATATAATTGCAACTTATCATGATGCACAAACCATAAAATGTCAAATGAAACCATGGTTCGAAGTTATAAAAACATGGTTAGGGCTTCTTAATAAAATAGATCATTAAGATCAAAATTCATACTTTAGAGTAAAACGAATTGCTATAATTCACTAAGAAGTAGGATTGACACAAAAAAAATTTATGTTGAAAAACTCATAGCTTGGCATTACTTGAAGTCCTATAGATCAACAAGAGATGATCAATTTAATCAACGATCAGCACAACTTGGAATGTTAAATCAACCAAAGTTAGCAGCAATAATTAGCCACAAGACCAACAGTCAAACCAAAAAAGTTGTTGAAAAGAAAGCTCAAACAAACATATCACAGATTGCCAGAATATATGAGTAACGAGTAACTAAATAAACATGGATGCAAAATATTGTTTGATAGCATTGTGGTTCGACCTTAAAAATAGGAAACTTACAAACTACCAATGGATAACTACACAAAAACACAAACCATGGCCAAATCATGCACTAGTACTCGCATTATCACACTTGAAAAGCGGATCCAAAGCTGCCAATCTCTCTTTTAACACATTGATGTCTACTTTGTCCCCCTCCAAAGGCTCAAACAATGAATATGTGTAGGTAACCATGTCAGAGAAGTGATACAGAATATGACATTGGGCATCGGGATAGGAATAGATATCATTATTTCCATACAAAGCTTTAGGGTACTTATTTTTCATCTCAACACAAGCCTGATGTATCCCCAACCGGATGGTTGCAGTCTGGAGGGCGGCGTTGACATACCCAAAATTAGTTGAATTCAACATGGCTCAGACAAAAAAATGAAGGCCTTCCTTCATAACCCACTGCAAATCCAAAGTTCCAAGTTTTAATATCGCTTGATGTTGAAGCACATTATGCTTAGCTAAATTTTGGAGCTCGACTAAAGACATGATTTGGGTGTCTTTCTTAGAAATAAGAGCTTGGTAGTTTGCAACATCTTCCCTGAGAAATTTGATGCGTACGTCCTTGTCTGAACAAGTAATCTCCAGTTGGGATACTTTCTCGGTATATTGAAGCTTCCGGGATTCGAATTGTTGGGACTTTTCTTCCAATTCTCTGCTCAGTTTGAACGATGACCAATGGTATCGTCAGTTCTAAGCTGAAGGTCTTGATTCAACTTTTTTGGTTCGTATTGGTAATGGAGACTATCACTTAATTCATTCACCAGATCCTTGTTTCTCTTGGAGAAGCCCAATATCTTTGCTCGTAGTTTCTTCACCTCTTCTTCCAACGGCTCATGACTACTTCGTGTACCCTTTAAAGGTTGTAATACTTCTTCAAATTTGAGTTGTTGGTTGGTAAGAATATATAAACGTGTTCAGGTACGAGCAGAGAGTTCATTCAGTAAGTGCATCCCTTCCATCAAACATGAACACGATCTATAAAGGCTCTCCTCATCTGATACACTCGCAAGTTTGGGACCTTTGGGAACATGGGTTCTAGCAAAATGTTGTTGAAACTAGGGCAATGAGGTTGCGAGTGTGACAAGTGTAGGCATAGGAGCATCTTTCTCATAAGAAGGTAATACTTAAATAAGCAAAATAACATATCATCATAAAAAAGGATAAAGAATAAAGGCAATTAAAGAACAACATACCAATTTGTTTTGAAGTACTTTGAGAAACATCAACAGCTGATTTCGGGTGAGAATCACCCCCAAACAAGGGAGTGGTGTCAAAATTTTCCACAAGAGTAAGGTTCGAACTACCAGGAACACCTGAACCAGTATGAAGAGGGTCCAAAGCGATAGTTGTAGATTCAATGTTGAATGCTTGAAAAAGTCCAAACCTAGCTCCAAAAAGTTTTTGCTAGAAGACAGCAGTAGTGGACAAATTGGAAGGAGTCTAATCTTTTGACAATGGATTGACGGAGTTAGGAATAGTTAAGACATTTAAAGTAGGATGGATATGGATCCCAGAACCTGGAGCTTCAGCGTCAGGAGAAGGAAGATTTTCTTCAGCATGTTTCAATCCAGGATCGATAATTACCAGACACTCATGAGGAGTACATGTTGCAGGTGGTTCCAAGGAAGACTCTAGATCAATAGACTTAGAGGAAATTTGACTACCAGATAGTAATAAACCACGGTTTTTCGCTTCACCACCACGAGTGGTTCTTTTTTGTTTAGGGGAGGACAGATCGATTACATTGTTAGGAAGATTCATTAATCCTTCCAAGGAAAGGGTTTTCTCTGTCCTAGCTTTCCTTTTGGAAGATTGAGCCCTTAACGCTTCCCTAGTTGAAGAAGACAGAGGATTCCTGCTATCATGCTCCGTCTTCATAATTTTCTTGGAAAAGGGAAGGTATTACAGACACAGTAGTATCCTGACCAGAAGGATTGACAGTAGAATCCATATTGGACTTTGATCGAGAAAGAGAATTGGGAATAGTAACCTCCTCGGTAACCAAAGTAGAATTCGCCAAATGCTTGCGATGCAATCGCTCCAGTAAAGTGACTTCTCGACCCACTACGGTTCCCACTGACTTTTTCCTAATTTGCTCCATCAAGAGCTTATCCCCGTCATGCTAACATTAATTCTTCAAGATCGCTGCATTTGAAAAAGTTCATTGATAAAAGATCAACAACTCTTTGTTCTTCAAGGGATAAATCAGGAGAAGGACCAACAGCCATGTCAGCAGTAGCACCATATACCATAGTTTAAAAAAAAGCGGAGGCATGGACGAAGAATAACTCTTCTTTCCAATACATGGTAGAAGTAGGAAGGCCATCACAGATCTCCACTAGGCATGGTGGAGAAAAAAAAATACCTAATCACGATTGGACATAGTAACATAGAAGTGGCATAATATGGCGATAAAAGGCATCACGTCTAGAGAAAAACACAGCATTGCAAAGCAAATGATTTTTCGTAAGGCGTTTGGAGTAATATGAGCAATATGAAAATGATAGTAGGCCAAGATTGTCTTTAAGAAGTTGAAATCCGAAAATCGTATGCCTAATTTAAAGAAAACTCGATACACACCAATGAACCATTCCTGAGCATCAACAATGGCATCCTCAGGCTCGGGAAAACGCGGGTGAAATTCGAAATCAATGTGGTACTTCTTCATGATATCAAAGAGGCTCGTAAGGGTAAGTTTTGATATCATGATGTGGATGCTTGAGATTTCTTTGCTAGCCATTAGGAGGTGAAATGAAGAAGTGAGAATGAAGAATAACTTGAAGGTAATGACAAGCGATGAAGAAAATAACCAGGCAAGAAGGGTATCTATAGGGAATTAGTAAAGCTACATTTATGCATGAGACAAAGTGGCAGTTTTACACTATAGACCCTTTAAATGGAAAAGAACTGAATAGACAGTTATAGGCAATGATGAACACTAAGAGTGGCAGAACCGTCACATGATGTTTCCTTACAATGACATTCATGAAAACCTGATGTTTGTATGTTTATAGCAATATTGGAAATATGAATTTGATTCTTTCATTTGTGGTAGTGTCTAAATTTACAAAATAAGGAAAGTTTCTCATCACCCAAGTTTCAATTGGACCGAAACTTGGAATCATACAAGGTGTTTAGTGTGATGTGTGAGAATTTTCAACTTTGGAAAAATTAAGACTAGTTCCGTGTTCACATGTATATGTGACTCAAGTAAAGGACTAAGGGATCAAGTACACATTGTTGTGCACTAGCCAAAGTCCACCACAAAAGATGGATAAGACTATTTGTCATGATTTACTAAGGTTTAGTAAATATGATTATACTTACAAGCCTAAGTATAATTCTGAGACATTGGAAAAGTTCCAAATGTATGGCAGAGCGAATAAGAAGAATAAAATTAGGCAGAAGGATAAAAGTTTCTCAAATCTGAAAAGATGGGAGATTACTTTAGTATCAATGATTAAGAGACCTTATCACAATTCATCCTCTAAGTGCATTCTGATAGCTAAGAAGAGGAATCATGAATTGTTGAAGTGGTTAAATCAATAAGATGAGTCATACTTCGTTCCAAAACAATTCTTAGGGTTATACTCCAAGATTGTAACTTGAGTGACGCGTCTTAAAGAAGGTTTAAAACACTTGTCAAATGTAAGAGTAAAAGTTTTCTACTCTTGTACATTTGAACTTCGTAAGATGTGATGTTTTGGATAAAACAAAGACCAACTAAGGCCAATTATGTGAAGTGTTTGTCTTGATTAGAATCCACACTATCTCTTGAATATTTGACAAGAAAGTCTTATAGGTCAAGGAGACAGTGGGAGTCTAAAAGATCCTGAAAGGGTTTCAAGAAGTAATCAAGAATAAAACCTGTATTTCATCACTAGCACACAACTAGAGGTTTATAACCTATTGTGTTGACATTTCTGTGCCCATTCTAGTTAAGTTGGCTATATATATTTGAGTTCTACATGTTCTCAAGTGTTTGCATAACTACTTGGAAGCAATGGCAGGCCCTTGTGCTGCCAGGTGGCAAGAGGTTAAGATTTCACAAGTTCAATCCATATGGGTTAGGAATTGTCACTAACCTAGTCTTGTGATTATGGTTTGACAAATTCACATGGATAAGAACACATACACCATAAAATCTAAGTGTCATAAGGTTTCTCTCCGATTCATGAAAAATGATGGTGAGGAAATTCTTTCACTAAGTAGATTTTAAGTAGATAGCAATTGTGATATTTGCAGTTCTCAAAGTCGTTAGTGGAGCGTGCGTGGTTAACCGGCATACTAACATTGACTTATGAGAAATGGCAAAAGGTCTAAACAATTTGAGACTGTGATTATGGCATCCCTTTTCATAGTTCTGAAATTGTTTAGACACACCTGTGATCTATCTAAGATAAGGTGTATGATTTTGATAAAGTCTTATCAAGACAATCTAGTATCAGATATCTGAACTTTGGTAAGAATGTCAATAAAGTATTGACTTCTAGAGGTCCAGCTGTTTTCTGGATACATGTCAAAGCTAGCGGGAGCATAAGTGTTATGCTAATAATCATCATGTTAGTGGGAGCATGATAATTATGATAAGTATTGCAAGTTAGCAATGTTAATTATAGAAAACAAAAAAGTTTCAATTCGTGAAGTTGCAGGGGTTGAAAAAGTTGTTTTGCTATAATTAAGGGAGAGGAAATTACACTTCATTTAAAAAAAAGCTGAGATTGAGTTTATAATCATTCTAAAGAGCTTATATTGAGATTTTAATCACCTTTAGTCAAGAATATATATATGAATTTCATGTTAGATTGGTTGAACTTAAGAAAATTCTATATATATTGCGTTCTCAAAATTCGATTATGATTACGGCATCCCTTTTCATAGTCAAAATTTGAGAATATGGCAAACAAAATTATTATGGCAAAAGACTGGTCTAGAACCATGTCTTTATGTGAAACATCATGAATCGTGTCCCATTTGCTTTGGGTACAAGATCGATTACATGTGCTATAATATTTATTATTTCTGAATTTTCCAAATGCCTTGGGGCATTAAGGAGGAAAATGTCTAGAATTGGATATGATTAAAGTGATTAAGCAATTGTCGAGGACAATCTAAGGTTCTACCGAAGATTGGTTGCTCAGGGACAGTTGGAAGTATAGTGTTAACTCTGGGAGGACTATATTGACATAGTCTAAAAAGAGGCAACTCTTGTTCAGAAGTAGTAGTCAAAATGGGAATATGGAGTTGTCTTCATAGGTGGAAGCAATCTGTGTAAGGTTAGAGAAATTTAATGCAAGAAGCATGTTCAAAGCAATGCGCTTTGAATTTGAGACATCGTTTCCATGGAATTGCTCTCCATTGGAATACTCTGTAATGATTGTTGCCAAGTCTTTGTGGCTTTGTGCATAATCATTACAAGAGGAACAGTGCATATAAGTTTAAAATCTAAACAGATTTTGATAAATGATAGGAATTTGGAATTCTTACAGTTAACACAAGGATTTGGGAGTGTGAAAAGAGAATCACTGAAATTATGTTCAATTGATCTAGTTCACAAAGAAAAGGATCATAAACAAACCTAGAGTGCATACTTGGTTTATGGCAAAGCTATTATTTTTAGAAAAACATAGTGTACATGCTTGGAGTATGGGACAACTAGTGTTTTTTAATTCAGGTATAAAGTTGATAAAACCGAAACAATGAATAATGAGTAATCAGTATGGTGATAAATAAAAGTGGTCTATTTATATTCATAGGGTTTGATACCATATTTGATTCATTTATTCTTGTATTTCACTTTGCATGTTTTGACTTCCATAATAACTAGGTTATTCTTCCGGAATGACTAAGTTATTAAAACCATCCACAGTCAGTCATATGTTGGAAGTAGATATGAATCAAGACTGTCATGGGTTGGCTTGTAGAGGTCCAAGTTGGTGGAAAAAGTTGTGCTACAACACTCATGAGGGCTCATAAGTTCTGAGTATTGGATTCAACCCGCGCTCATTTGAATCACTTTCATGGATTTTATCACGAGTGATCATGAGACGATAATATCTTATATTCTTCAAACCTGGAGATATGAGTTGTTACTATAGGTTGATAGTACATTGATTGCACGAAAACGCATTGGTAACTCGATGTTATAAAACGTGCCTTTGTGTATGATTCAACAAGTAGTAGAACAAGTCATATGAGTCGAAGTTTATCCATTCCTTTTACCTTCGGGATAAAAGCAATATCTGTGGGCCCCTCAATGATTTAGCGATGACACATGTGAGTGCTTGGCCAAGCCGGCACTGATTTGATTTGTTCAATCAGTCAGTCATCATAAATCAGAAATCAGGAAACAACAAATGGACAGAGAGAATGATTGATAATCCATGTCTCAGTCCATATGATATCTAGAATGGAGGAATATATGATCCCTTATCTAATGGACAAGTCATTGACAAATGTCAGAGTTCGTTGACAAGATCAGAGTTCTACAGCGACTTTAAGAGCTACGATTGCCAGTTAGGTTTTGAAGTCATACTCAATAATAGTTTTAGACTTATCCAAGTGGGAGACTGTTGGATTAATGTCTAAGTCCATAACTATATTTGGTATGTACTTGACCCGAAACGGCATGGTCCATTTGGGTTGCACTTCACCGGCACAATTTATATGGATAGTCTTTTGAGAATAGTATATTTATGATTTATATTAATATATTATAAGTTCTAATATATTAATATGGAATCATATTATTCAATTAGTATTGATCAAGAATTAATTTAGAATTAATTAAGTGATCAAAAGGAACTAATTAAATATGGACTCTTATATATATATGGAATGGGCCAAGTTCATTGAGGTTGGGCTAAGCTTTCATGGATAGTCCATGGAGCTTTTAACCCATGGATCCTATGTAAATGAAAGGTCATGGGTATTAGGGTTTACATGGATGTAACCCTAATCCTCCATAATATATAAAGGGGTCCTTGGCTCACAAAATTGGCACTTGTGTATGAAGAGAAGAGTGGGCCGATTTTAGTGGGTATACATATTCTCTCAAGTTCTTCCAAGGTGCTTTGGTGATTTGTGATTCCACTTGAGGCTTCCACACTATTGGGGCTAAGCTCTTAAAGCTTGAAGACATCAAGCTACATCAAAAGGTATGTCATCTAACTAGTACTTTGTAGTATAGATGGTTCATAATATGCTAGTTAGGATGAAACCTTGGAATATTTAATATTTGCATGTATAATAGAGAAAACATAGATCCAAGGTTTATAGGGTTGCATGTACACCATAGGAGTGTTAGAATGCTCAAAACCCAACATGATGTTCCCAAGACAGCATTCCAAACTCGTTACGGACACTACAAGTTTGTAGTAATGCCCTTTGGTCTAACCAACGCACCCGCGGTATTCATGGATCTGATGAATCGGGTGTGCCGCCCTTTCCTAGACAAGTTCGTGATCGTGTTTATTGACGATATACTTGTCTATTCGCGGAGCGAAGATGATCATAAACAGCACTTGAGACTAGTGCTAGAAACACTAAGGGGGGGAGAAAATTTATGGAAAGTTCTCAAACTGAAAGTTCTCAAAGTTTGAGTTCTAGATCAGGAAGGTAATTTTCCTTGGTCACGTGGTTAGCAAGGAAGGCATACATGTGGACCCCTCCAAGATCAAAGCAATCGAGAGTTGGTCGGCACCGAAGACACCCACAGAAATCCGTCAATTCTTGGGTCTC